AGCTTTTCTGATCAATATTTACAGGCTCTCACAAATCATAAAGGAGCACAAAAATCCTACATTGAGATTTTTCTAGGTTAAAAACACTGAAATTTTTAAGTCTTAAAAGTACTCTTAATAGAATAACCAAGTTATTTTCTATTCTCATAAAATTTTTTCAGGACAGATGGACACACACAACACAAACAATACAAACTCAAAAAGCTCTAAAAGCTCATTTACAGTTTCCTAAGAAATAAAATATATGTTTTAATTCATAAGGGAATAAAATGACACATTCTTTTGTAATGAGTCTCTGTTGGCTGAATAAATTTGAGGACAGAGAGCCTAAAATAGAACAAAAACAAGGAGAATTTAAATAAAACTATTACTTTAAAATAAAATATTGATATCCTATTTAAAGCCTGGAAAAGATGCAAATTGAAAACCTATGTCGAGGTATTAGACATTTGCTTTAAACAGTTTCCATGAAGTCTTGCTCAGCAAAATGGACTCATAGCAATGATCTAACGAAAACCATGTCCTTTCCAGAGATGCAGGGGACCTTCCAGCTTCAGGCAGGGGCAGTCACTGCATTTCCAGAGCTATTCATTCCTTGCATTTGTCTACTTACCCATCTAGTATATTTCCTTTTTGCCTAATAAATATCTGTTAACCTGTCTGATGGTATGAATTTGCAGGCACCAAGTTGTATTAGTCCATTTTATCACATAAGAAAATTTTTACTTCATTATTGAAAGTATTTTTACTTGGAAAAGCATTCTGAAGTGTCTTTTCTTTCTTCCAATAATTTAAATACGTCACCACTGGACATATTCTGGAATGCATAGCTGGGGATATGAGATTGACCATCATTCTAATTCTTGTTCCATTGCATATGATGTGTATTTTTCCTTGCTTTTAAAATTTTCTCTTTATCACTGTCTTTCAGCAATTTGATTTTGACGTACCATGTTATTCTTTTCTTTGTAGTTGTACTCCTTGGGGCCTTTTGAATATCTTGGATCTGAGAGTTTATAATTTGGAGTGTTTTTTGGTGATTCTTTTCTTTCTTTCTTTCTTTCTTTCTTTCTTTTTCCTTCCTTCCTTCCTTCCTTCCTTCCTTCCTTCCTTCCTTCCTTCCTTCCTTTTTTTTCTCTACCATCAGCCTCCTCTATTAGATTTGGAAGTTCAATTAAACTGCTCAGTTTTCCTTCCCAGCACTCCCAACAGCTGTTTTGTTTTGTTTTAAAGTTTTTTCCCTTTCTATGTTTTATTGGGACAGTTTCTATTGCCATGTCTTCAAGCTGACTGCTCATTTCTTCAGGGTCATGTTAGATATTAGTTGCATCCTTTCAAGTTGAAGCTACATTTGAACTTGTTTGTGGCTTTTATTTCTGTCTTCATTATGTTCACTTCTCATGTTTCTTTACCTTTATAAACATATGGAGAATGTTTGTAATAATTTTTGTTCTCTTGTTTGATAATGATAGCGTCTGTCATTTCTTGGCCTATTTCTAGTGACTGAATTTTATTTTACTTTATTTTACTTTGTCCATTTCTTTGTGTGCATAGAAAGTTTTGGCTGGATGCCAGACATTATAATTCTTAATCCTTTTGGGGTATAGGAATTTTAAATATGCTTTTGTATACTATGTTAGATATTTTCCCAGCTTAAAATTAAGTCACTTGGACTCATTTTGATCAAGTTTAAATTTTTAAAATATTTGTTAGAGTAAATGAATACTCAGTCTAAGCATAATTTAAACTCACAATTAATATAATATCTTAGTCATAATTTTGACTCATAACTAATCTGATATTCTCCTTGAGTTCCTGTATCCTGCTTGTGTATGACAAAGACTTTTCAGCATGGTTAGTGGGAATCCAAACTCTCCCTAATTCTATGTATACTTCCCCCAAAGTTTGGACTATTGTTTCTCTGTGCTTCTTAGTGCAGCACTGAGCAGTTCCCCCCATCATACATTTATGTGTACTGTATTCAGAAAAGACTAAAGGAGTCTTTTCACATATCTCTCGGGTTTTCTCCTTATTAAGATTCCTTCCTTCAACTATTCTAACCCACAGATTCTTATAATCTTGATTCCCTCAAACTTTGATTTTTCTCTCTTCAACTCAGTGAGATCACAAGGCTCTATTTAAGTAATTCCTAGCTGTACTGCTTTTGTGAAATCTGCTACTTGGTTGTAAACAGGAGTCATAGGCATTTGCTTCATTTATCTTCCTTCAATCAGGGAATCAAAGTACTTTGTTGTTATTATTCAGTGTCTGAAATCCTTTGCCACATATATAAGATGACATATGATAAAATATATGGTAAGTGTTTAAATAAAAATTTTAAAGTTATGACAGTAATTGCCATTAATACCCCTCAGAAGAGTTCCTTTCACTTCAAAAACATTCATTCCATCATTTGTCCTACCTTAAGAAGCAGTTCTAGAAGTCTTCGTCCCTGAATTTCTTTGATTATGCTGTCATGGCTTTTGATGTCCTGGATCAGTTGAAAATGTTTGCCTTTCACTGTCTTTTTGACTTTGTGGAAGAGTCAGAAGTGGCAAGGTACCAGATTCAGTGAGTAAGGTGAATGACCACACCATAATGTTCTTATCTGACAAAAATTACTGTAAGTGTTTTGCTTCTGGACATTGAGGAAGCCCAGCAAGACTGTCATGCAGGAGGGCTTCCGGAACTGCTTCAGGAAGTGGCCAGATTGGCAAGTGTGTTCAAAATCCAAGAGAGAGAGAGAGTTTCGATAGGGATTAATGGCAATGTGTGTTTCATTGTAGTAAATTTTAATTTAAACACTTATCATATTTTTGTTACACTTCAAATTTTGTGTACTTTGTCTGGTTCTTAGTATGCAAGGGTAGAGTAATCTAACTCCTGCTATTTCATCATGGCTAATGAAAGATATGTGTTTAATACTGAAAATAGGTTTACTAAGTGAGTCTTGTATCATTGGCATTCATGAAAATGAAATTAAGCTTCTAAGCAACTAGTAATATTAACTTTTTTATAATCTTTATATGTGAAGTTGCCTAGGGCATAAGATAAACAATTATAATTTGTGTGATCTCATGTTCTTATATAATTACCAGCTGGAATTTATGCCAGTGTTTCTAGCATTTGTAGCAGGTCTGAACTGGTATTCTTATGTCTTAGGCAGCTACTGGTGTTGGTATCTGTGTATTCAGCCTTGTTAACTTTTTTTAAAGAGGATAAAACAGAATAAAAGTATTCAAAACAAACCAGTGTAAGAGATACAGGTATAAAAATATTATGAAATCAACAATAGTTACTGTAATGCTTCTTGATGTCTTCAAAATAGCAGCAGATAACTTCTGACGGTAAAAATCAAACAGAACAGAATAGAATACAAACAATAAAAACAAGACAATGCACACAATAAAGGACTGCAAAACAAGCCAATAGCAAATCCAACATTGCTACTATTATCTTGCTATCTTTGAAACAGATGTTCCTGCTATCAGACTTGACATAATCAAACAAAACAAAAGAGAATAAAACCCAACCCAACAAAACAATGAAAATGATATAGGACTTCCAAAATAAGACCATAGCGAATCAACAATGGCTGCAAACCCAGAAGGACATCCCCACGAGATGTCACACTGTACCACTATCCTCTGAACCCATGACCAGACCACTGGCCCTGGACCTGCAATGTTAGTGAAGCACCAAAGCACACAGGCATCCAATGGCATGTCACCTTCATCTGTATCATCACAGCCTGTTTCCCCGGAAAAGCCGGGGTTGCTTATAGGGGTGGGGTGGGGGCTGGGGATGGTATTTCTTGTTTGCCAGCTCACATGTGGGAAGGGGCTAGGGTCTGGCTGTTCGAGTCTGGTGGGGGTCCGTGCATGGCGCTGGATCTCAGAGTGGGTTTGCTTGCTGATGTGTCCTTTGTTCTCTCTACTCCTGGTCTGCGAATGGTGCTGACTCACGGGGAGAGGCTCAGCCTCTTTAGTTTTTAACTCAAGGATAACACTCGAGTACTTGACTCTTTCCTTAGGAGTTTGTTTTTTAATAACAACTGGCCAAACTATATTTCTCAGCACAGATATGAAAGAATAAAAATGACAAAGGTCAAAAATAATTTTCCCTGTTTCTTTTCCATCTACATATTTTACATGGACATTACTGAAGATAAATCGGAGCTCAGTTTACTAACTTGGTCCTTTAATAAGTAGTTGCTTGTAAGAATACAAATTTTGGACATAGGTTCTTATGTTTTTATCCTGTCACTTTTTATTTCTTTCAAATTTCTTCTGCTACATTCTTTTTCTCTAAAAAAGGCAATGTGGGCTTTTAAAGTCTTTTGAATTACCACACTTCCCATCAATTTCATGTTTGCTTGTTTTGGTTCCATGCTATTTCCTTTGTCTAGAACGCTTTCACTTTCTTTCTTTCATTGTTCTCATACATTTTGTAAGGCTCACATTGAACAAAGGGTCAAATGTGTCTGACATAGACATAAACATTTTTAATGAATAAATGACAAAATAAAGGGTAATTCTTCCCTAAATTATCTGATTTTGTGCCGTCATCCCACAACTCAAGGATCATTATAAATATATCTAATATTACATATTAGAATATAAACATATTCTAATTAGGGCTCTGGAGTCTGATGATTTGATTTTCTGGGTTCAAATCCTGGTTTTACCCACCAAATAGTTGTGTGGCTAAATTAGCCAATACTTTTGGCTAAATTACTGTGGCTCAATATCTTCAATCTGTAATTATGGTTACTATACTAATTTCTTTATAGGGTTACTGTGGGGATTTGGTGAGATAACACATAATGTATCTAAAGTAGTACTAAATGTTCTAAAAGTAGCAGCTATTACTATCAATAGAAACTAGCTTTTATTAGATTCACTGATTTTTCAATTCTACATTTCAATTGATCCCTTGAATCTCTCCTAAAATTTATTAACTATTCATGTTGTTACAAGAAAGACTGTCCAAATGTGATATAATTTGAAAATTATGCTTTTTATTATAGTCACATAAAATAAAGTCAATTACACCAAGTTGTTAAAATACATTGGTGAATTAAAGCTTCCAACACTTACAAATTTTTATACATATATCTATGCATTTATAAATACATATATATGTAAAAGATATATTTTCTTCTAAAATAAAGTGCCCAAATCTTGATATATGGGGGCATAATAGGGAGAAAAAAAAATCATAGTTTTTCATTTATAGATGGTATTTTCACAGTACAAGAATCAATTTTATACACATTTATTCAGGTATTGTGAACTTTAATAAATCATTCTTTTCTGAATTCTCTTAAATGAATTAATGTATCCAAAATGTTAAAGAAAGTCACGTGGTGAAATGAACAAGACGTTATTTTTTTCTGATGGTGATTGGCACAGAGACTTGGCTTCCTGAGGGAGGGTTAGTTAAGATTTATTTTTAATTATCCTATTGTTCAGACTGATTTTTTTTTCTGATAAGCTGGTAAACAAAATAAAAAATATTTAGAAGTCTCTAATTCTAAAACCTCTGCTAGCAGGAAGTAAAGTCAGGATTTGATGAAAAGATTCCTAGGGCTGGGGATTTAGCTCAGTGGTATAAGAACCTGCCTTGTAATCAGGCAGTTGTGAGTTTGATCCCTGGTACTGAAGATTCCTAATATTTTACAACATTTTGGAATTGGGGAGAAAAGTCCTAGCAGAGTCTGAATTTCTGGCTCTACTGCCTGTATTATAACTAAAATCTTATTTGAGCCAAGGAGGAAGAATTGGGCTGTAATGATCCATATGTCATTGAAAGAACCAGCTCATGGTAATGAACTCTTAGTTACAGTGAGACACTTTAATGAGAACATGTTTCAATTTAAGAGCAAACTAAAAGACTAAAGAAAAACTGCATCATTTATTTCAGAAAATCTTCACTTCAAATAGGAACTAGAGTTCTATTACCTGCTCTAATAACCCAGCTTCCCTTCTGCTGTTTTTACTGTACTTTCTGCTTTCTCAGACATTTATGATGATCATCTGTAGTCTTTGACAAGAAATTGAATTTTGAAATGCCTTTGAAAAGACTTCAACTTATTTAACCAAGGAGGAGATACCTAAAAATAGCTTAATGCAAACCCTGCCGTTTCAGAATCTCTGGTGGTTACATATTCAAACTACATTAGAGTGGATCTTATGCAAGCAGGAAAGGAAAAAGTATCAGCATTGGAACTGCATACAAAGGCTCTAAACCTTCCCGGCAAGTGAGTGGGAGGCTTGGGTGATGGGAAGCCCAGACATGTCCTATAGTCAACACAAGGAGTGAACACCTTTTATTTTTTCACTTTTGGAAGGAAAGAAAAAGGGCAAGAGAGTGTTTCTGATGACCCAAATCATCTCGCAGGGCCTGTGCAAACCCAGAGATGCCTAACTGCTGATCTTGGTGAGCATCTTGTTGATGGCTTGCTTGACGTGCGTGGTGGAGCTGCGCCTCCTGGCCTTGCCCTGCACCATCCTCCTGCGACGCACCTCTCGACACAACTCATAGAAGATCTCTGTGATGTTCCCTTCACCTGTGCAGGCAGAGCACTCATAAAAAGCACACGCCAATTCGGTGGCCAGCTTCTCCCCTTCTTCCGTACTCACTTGCCTGGAGTGGTCCAAGTCAGCTTTGTTTCCAACCAAGATGAGAGTCACGTTCTTAGGCTTTTTGATCTCATCTAGAATGTTTTTTAGTGGCAGCACTTCCTCAAAACTTCCTCGGTCTGTAATGTCGTAGACCAGCACAAAGCCTTCCCCCCACCGCATGTGGCCTTCCCTCTGAATGGTGTCTTCCTGTTGGCAAAGAAAACCTAATAGTTAGCAGCCCTGGAGGAAATCACAATATACAGATCCCGCTGATACTGGTAATAATCCTTAATTACTATCCTTTGTATCCAATTTTATTGAATGCCTTGGTTTTTACCTGTACAAGTTTATTTTCTCCAATCATTTTGAAATGAAATTATTACTTACTTCCAGCAAAATACTTCAGAGAATTGAAAAATTTTCAATCACACACTTTAAATTTTTTTCTTGCCATGTCATTAAATCTGTGATCCTTAAGAACTATAAAGTATAAAATCAGTTGAGAACATCAGCTTTAAGGCTTTTATCACAATTAAAGAACTAATAAATTGTTACCAAGTAAGTAGTCTTTAACCCACACTTTGGGTATGAAAGTCCCAATTAAGCAATTATTGATGCCAAAATTTAATAAGACTTTTTTCTTTTATTTGCTTTTATCCATTTAGGTTATTGACAATTAGCTCACAGGGACAGAAGAAAGCTACACAGAGTCCAATTTTAAGATAAAAATTTTGCTTTTTTTTTTCAATCTCAGTAACCCAAATAGGTTATGCTATACAATAAAGACAGAAATTCATTTGAAGTGCTTCTCAAGAAGTGTAAATTCTTCACAGGAAGGTAGCATGTATGGTTTAAAAAATCATCGCATTCACAGGTTTAAATGATTTCTGGAGACTGTCAGCACTTGAAAGAGCACAAGAATGCAATAATGAAATGGAAAAGGACATTTTTTTGTGTGTTAAACAATTGAATTTGTGCCTCCTTGGGTCACAGGTCACTCATGAAACAGCATGGAAACCTGCAGATTAGCTGCTATTCCAGTGTTCAATTCTATTTTGGGAAACTGAACTTATCTATGAACACTTCTGTAATCAGATCAACCTCAAAGTGGAGTTATAAAACAATATTCCAGAAGAGATTTCCAAATGAAAGCACTGAATTCTGAAACTAACAAGAATATGTGGTCATAGAAGTTTGGAATAAAATGCAATACCAAATCTCTCTTTTTGATTCCCCTCACTCATAAACACATTAGAGGCTCTGAGAATTTTTTCAGCTAATATTTGTTTAAATTTATCTGAGCATTTCAAAGCATCCTTTGCCATGAAAATTTATTAATGTGTTTCCATGCCACAAAATACAGGTGAGATATCCTAACCTAGATGACATTATTATAGAATTTTATATTCTATAATATTATAGAATTTTCAAAATCCTCTTAACTGTGGTAGAGTTTATATCAGAATGCATGGTACAGGCTGTTAGAAATGCAATAATTTATAAAATAGCTAGATAACAAAAGAAGCAGGTTTCTAGGCAGACAAAAGTTGGTTGAGGAAAGTGGCTTCATTTTGCTCATATTATGTAGCTGTGTTTTTATTTGATGTGGAAAATATTTTAGTTGAATTTCTATTCACCTGACCAGCGGTATCTAGGATCTCCATGGAAACAACTTCATCATCGATGGTTGCTTGGTGTCGGTAGGTTGATTCTGAGGAATGAGCAAATAAAGAATGCAAAAAGTAAATAACTGAAATAATTAATTTGGTCCTTAAAATGAAAGGAAAGATGAATGTGCTTGAGTGCAACAACTTTGTACTCAGCTCTTGGCGGTAGTGAGATTGAACAAGGAGGCTACCAACTTTCAGAGGATTGCATGGGGGAGAGCTCATTGCTTCTTCCTCCCCATTCATTGCTTGTGTGGCTCCATCTTCTTATTTTCCTGTGAGAACAGTTTCCTGATGCTTTTTTACATTTAAATATTCCTCTACATCCTATAGTAAGAAGGTACTTTCCCCAAAAATGTATTCTGCCTTCATGCTGCAAAAAAGTTTATGAAATCATCGCTAATTTATTTTCCTAATAAGGTTGCATACAAACTGGATCTACTACTTTCCTTCTAGTCCTTAACCTTGGAAATGCAATAAACATTAGAGAAAGGTGAATCGATTTTTTTAAAAGCCTTTTTCCTTTTTATCGGTACCAGGGATCAAACTCAGGACTGCCTGCTTGCAAGGCAGGCGCTTATGCTGCTGAGCTAAATCCCCAGCCCCTAAGGTGAATTGATTTTACCAAATGGTGTAAAGCTATGAAAAATTCTTGAGGAGATAAAAGGTGACGAGTAACCTAAAGTAGAGGGGAACCATGCACCACTGAGGTAACATTACAGATTTTTTTCTCATCGTGTTACCTCTTCAAAGCAGAAAATAACAGCTGCTTAGCACCAGCTGGAGGTCAGTGGGTCAATAGTAAAGTGGTCCCCAAGTCAGAAAGACCTGAAGAGAACAAGTGGGTACACGAAGACAAGGTGGCCCCAACTGTAGGTCTCATTACATAAATGAAAACCATAGGCTAAAAACAAGGGCCAGCTGGTGATGCTCTACATGAAAACTGTAACAGCGTAAATAAAGGACTCAGTGAAAGGACAGTGGGCTGAGGAGATGGAAGTGAGACTGAGGAACTCTCCCAGGAGACATCAATAAGTGATAAGATGAAAACTGAAAAATTAATAAGATGTATGGGTAATAGAACTAGAAATCTTATTTTGTACAAAATGTGTCTCAAAGGGGAGAATAAAATACAGAAAGGCATGGGAATATTTACAAGTTGTAATGACTAAGAATTTCCCTGGATTAGAGCCATTGAAAGACTGAAGGTCAAAATGACCAACAGAATACGTGGGAAAAAAGACTCCTATTTAAATCTATAACAGTGAAAATTAGGAATACAAATGACAAAGAAAAATCTAGGGGGATTTAAAGGAAAAAAAGCACATAACGTATAAAAGGACATGAATCAAATTAGATTTTTTTGAACTGAAACCAAATTCATATTTATGGCAAAAGTAAATCTAAATTACAGCAAAAATAATCCATAGTCATAATTTCTGGTAATTCCAATTTATCATATCTTAGTAAAGATGGGGAAGACCAAATGAAGGTTTGAGTAAACTGACACTTTTTTCTAGAGGACCATAAAATAAAAAGGGAAATTAGAAAAAGTGAGATAAGTACTCTATTCAACAAGGAAGAACAGGGCCGGGGATATAGCTCAGTGGCACAGTGCTTGCCTAGCAAATGCAAAGTCCAGAGTACAATTTCCAGTACAAATCAATCAATAAATAAGAATAGAAAGTCAAAATAAAATTTAAAAGATGGAAATAAAAGGCAAAATGTCATGATGAAAAAAATATAGTCATCTAATTCCTTTTATAGGAAATTATGCTGAGTTTGCTAACAACAATACAAGAATAACAAAAAGAAAATAATGACTTAGAACATTTTAGGCCTATTCTTTTTGTGAATACAGTTAACTAGTCCTAAATAAGTGGTTATTCAATTTATTTCAATAGTGCAACAAATACAATAATGATCAAATGGAGTCTTTGGAAAGCAGACTGTTTAAAGTTTATCCATGCAATTTATGAATTAGAAGGGGAAAATCACACAGTTAACTCTGTCAAGGAGAAAATGGTCTCTTTTTTCTTAAAGCTCACTATCTGTTAAAGATTTTTAAATATTCTCAGATAGCTAAAAATAGGAATTCCTTAACATGGTCTAAGGCTACATGGCCAAGACCCACAGCATGCATCAGATAAACAGAGAGGATTTATATTCTTTGTCTTTAAACTACAAGCAAGAAAAAATAAGTGGATACTATGTAAAAGAATAATCCAAGATGAACTGTCAACTGTAGACAGTGCAATAAAGTAGAAATAAATCAAAGATACAAAGATAGGAAAAGAAGTTAAAGATCACTGCCAGTAGCAATAAAATACATAATGATATCTAGAAAGTAGTACAGAATGAATAAAATTTGTAACTTTATACAAAAGGCAGCAAAACTTTTGTAAATGAGCAGGAGAAGAAGGGTTGAAGACTGAGGGGGGGAGGGGAAAAGAATCAAGTTATACCATGTGTAGGTTCAAACTTCCTGTAATGAATGTGATCATTATATATGCCTAACACATACCAGTAAATTTAATTTTTAAAAATTTTAATTTCTCTAAAAGTTAATATAAAATTTAATGCAATTAAAATTAAAAGTCTAAATTGAGGATCTAAATAAACTTACCTAACATGGCATAATACAAAGTATGTAACACTTCTCTAAACTATGGTATAATATCAGAATGGATAAATTCATTCATCAACTCCTGAAAAATAGACACGGGTTTATTCAGAACTTGACTATGTGACTGAGGTGGTCCCACATACTACCTTGAAAGAGAACGGATTATGGGGTATTACATGGGAGAAATAAATCTGGACCCCCCCGCCAAGTACATACCAAAAGTAAATTCAGATTAAAGATTTTGATGTATATCGATTTGAAAAGCAAACAAATTTAAAAGAACAAAACATAAGAAAATATAAAAACTCATGTACATAGCTCAAAAAAACATATTAAAAACAAGTGTGTTAAGTATATTAAAATGAAAAATTTTATGTAATATCAAATAAGCAAAACCTGGAGAAATAAAAGTGGAAACAAGACTTTTGTAAATGAGGAGGGAAAGAGAGGTTGAAGGAAGGGGAGGGAAATGGAGAAAGAGAATTAAGGCAAATCATGTAAGGATACAAAGTCCCTAGATGCATGTTATCATTTGTATATCTAAAATGTACCAATAAAATTAATTTGGAAAACCTGGAGGAAATATTTGTGATCAACTGCTGATGAATATCTAAATTATACAGAAATCTTTAAAAAGTGAAAAAAATAGATGAACAGAAAGTAAATACAGATAAAGCATATAAAAAGAAAATGCACAGAGAACGAAGACCAAATAATTAACGTATATTGGATGATGTTTGACTGGCTACTTACCAGAGGAAAGTTTATATAATTATGCTCCAACCATAAAATTTGCTACAATTAGATAGATATAATGATGTCTTAGGTTACAGGAAGCTGCCCTGTGCCAGCAATGGGAGTGCAGAATTACTCCAGCATTTTTGAGGATAACTTAATATTATTATTAGATATGTTTACCCTGAGACTTACCAGTCTTCTTCCAGGCAGAGGCTATAGCATAGAATTTTAATTCAGATTCTTAGAGTAGAGCAATGGCTCTCAAAGCATAATACCTGGATCAATATTATCATGTTAACACAGCAATGCACCAGAAACACAAATTTTCAGGCTCAAGCCCTCATCTACTGGTGCTAAGATCCAGCAATCTGCATCCCTACAAGTCTTCTAAGTTATTATGATATATGCTAAATTACAGAACTGCCGATGTGAAGGAATGTTTCCCCCTGGGATGTTAGCAGGAGCTCACATTGCAGGCAATCGGAGTATTTGTTACAGGAAATGTAGGTTAAATTCGGTGTATCTAAGGAATACGATGCAGAAAACTAGATGCTGATCATCCCATGGTGCTGATGGCAGGTAGAAGGCTAAGCTGCTTAATTAAGCTTCCTTTCTGCAGTTTGCTATGAGATTATATTTGCAGCAAAAGAAGATAAAACTGGTCTCAAAAGGCTGAAGTACAGTTGAAGAAAGTTAGATGGAGAGATAAAAAATAATAAAATCACCCCTTCCCCCCACCATGAGAAAATAAATTATAGGCTTATTTGTTTGAGAGATTAGTCATTCAGGTATTTTAAATGCAAAAGTCAAATTAATAATCATATTAGTCTTCTTACTCTTTTTATGGTACCATGCCATTCTTGATATATATAAGGCTCTCGTGTTATTTCCTTTTATTTTCTCCTGGGTCCCTCTTCTGATGATCCTTTTTTCCTTCTCATAAATACACTCTAATATGTTTGATAAGCATAGTGTTTCCAATACTGAACTCCAAAGTCAGACTTCTGGATTCAAATCTCAAATCTACTACTTACCATTGTGTAACTCTGTAAAATATGCAATATACTTATGTCTCAGTTTCCTCTTGTAAGATGGAGCTAATAATAAAATATACATCATAAGATGTACGTGAAGATTACATCAGTTAACATAAATGAAACACGTAGAGCACTTCTTGTTCAACTAATAAGCAGTGTGCTTTAGCTACCATACATACGGCCTATGAAAACAGGTTTATACATACATTTAACATTTTATATAAATTTAATTGTATGGTATGCATATTTATAGTCTTAATAACAGAACGTGAATTTTGAAGGCCCATTCATGTTTTCATAGTTCCAGATGCAAAAATGTTATAGCTTGCATACTGCGAAAGTATTTCCCAGAAACTAAAATTTAGAAACAGGATTATGTTCAATATATTTTAATAAGTGTGCTTCATATTATTGTCATCCTTCTAGGACTTTTAATAACATACATAATCTGCATACTGACTCTCAATTCTAGAGAATTCTGTCCCTCTGCTTTTTTATGTTGAATAAGTGATTATACTTTTGAGTGACTGAATGCTCTAAAATACTACTCATCGGAGCCACTTGTCTCTATGTGCTCTCCCAATTATTGCAGACTGAAAAAAAGACCAAATGACATCAAATATGGTCCAGGTCCACACCCCTTTTGGTTTCTTTCTGCACTGTTCTTTGTGTCTTTTGTAATGACTTCTCTTTCTGAAAGACTGGCATTCACCCTGGAGCTCGGAAAACAGAATTCTGGGCTGTATTCCATCTCCTTGCACCAAAAGTTGTCCGTGAGACAGGGACATTTTTCTCTCTTCCTTCCATGATAAATAGAGTATGTATTTCAACCACAGAAGGCCACAGTAGGGGGGAAATAGAATGGAATGAAAATTGTATAAAGTTGCGTGTTTCTTTGGCTGTTTGTTAACTGAAATGAAAAAGGATAAAATGCAGGAAATGAGCGAATGTCTACCACAGACTTAGCAGCGGGTGGTAGTGGTGATTTCATCTAAGATGAATACTGGTTTCACACCACTCTGAACATTTTTCATCTTTAGGCATCTCTCTTTCTCCTTAGGAACCCATTCTCTTTCCATATAAAACAATGGCACGTTTACCTACAGGCACAAAATGTCATACATGTATGTGCTAGGTCTATGCAGATAATTCTGAAAAACACACTAAGTGTGTTATATAATAAACTCTATTATTATGTATTTTAAAACAGTAAAGAAAATAGATATGCATTTGGGTGGTGTTCACTCTTTTCATTTTCTTCACACTAACAATGATAATTTGAGTCTTTTTTTAAGGTGTGAGATAAATATTTAGAGGTTTCTTCCAAATGAAATAAAATGTCACATACTTTGAAAAATATACAAAATATATTTGAATTTCACTGTGTATGAAAGATTAAAAAGCTGCATTAACAACATCTTTATAAATACAAGTCTCTACTCTGTGTATTCTGAGAGGGACTAATGATCAAAGAGAGGTTGCATGTAGCTAATCCTTATACTATTCTGAAATTTTTGCAAATTTTAACATACTCATGAGGACACTTGGCCAGTATGGTAGTAATAGTAGTTAATCAAGCTGATTTAGGGTAGGGTAAAATTTTTCTGACTTGAGTTCCATGACTGGCCTTACCACAAACCAGACATAAAATCTTGGATAAAAATCTATCTCTTTGTACCTGATTCTTTATTTGTTAAATGACTAAGTTATATCACTAAGTTACCTGCAGTGCTGATATTAAATAGTTGTATGAATTGGCTGAGCACTTCTCTTTGGAATCCAGCTGAGGTAATTTGTCCTTGGTGAGTACTTTATCTTTGTATGATCCTTTTCCAACAGAAGGAACTGTAAAGCAGGCAAGAATCGAGGAGAAACGCCAAAGCACTGGTGAGTTTAAAATGTGTCCTAACTCTTGCCTTTATTACTATCTGAGCTTTTATGAAGCAGATAAAAACAAGTATCATTCACTCAAAACAATGTAAGTGGCCTGGCTGTACTAGTACAATAATCACAGGTGCTGAAATGCAGTCTTTTCTCCAAATGTCTCCAACACACACATCCTAACAGGCTCAAGTGCAATTGCATACAAGCTAAGAATTTGAATTCTCTTCTATGTCCAGCATCCTTATGAGACAACAGGATTCCTGAATCTAGGAATCAGTTCTTGGCTGGATGTATGCTCTGGATTGTTTGTATACAATCTGAACACTGCTGCCATGATTCATGGGGCTGTCCTGGTCAGATCTTGGTATCAGATCATCTGATTTTTAGTGGTGATTTTCAGCCGCTCTTTCTAAACCACAGCTGTCCACTCACAAAGATTTCACTGATCTACAGTGAAATGAGAACACGTTAAGGGAAACTAAACTCTGTGTAAAGGAACAAACTTTTTTTTCAAGACACTCGTATGTTAAAAATTCCCTTTTTTTATGAAATAGAAGCTTAAGTAAGTACAGTGTTAGCTCTCCTCACTCAGCCCTTACTTGTGTCTCTGATTGGAATTCTTATGGTAGACCCTCTCCATCAAATTGAAAGAAACCAAAATGAACAACAGGGGACACACACACACACACACACACACACACACACACACACACAAATCCCACTGGGGCTAAAATCCAGAAGTTTTGGGGACCATTTGTTATCATAGTAGCAAGCATTTTCTGTAAGAATTATTTTAAAACCAGTAAATATTCCAATTCTGTTAATTATGTAGAATGATGTCTCCAGTTTCTCATGCAGCAATGATGCTGTTACAAGTGAAAAAATCAGGCCCATGTTTCTGCAGAAGACACTGGAATAGGAATTCAAGAATTCTTTTATTTACACAAATATACTTCTTTGTTTTGTGATGCCATCTCTGCTGGAGGTCATCTTGAAGCTTTTAAAATGGCCACATGTTCAGCAAAGTATCCTGTCTTCCCTTTTGTAGTACGATGTTAAACCTAGGAAACGCTAATTTCTGTTTAAACAAATAGCTGGAGGTCTCCACTGGACTAAAGCATTAGCAGGCTGTGGGTGCACATGGGCATGTGCCCACATGGATCAGAGCTAACGAAACGTGCACCTGCTGCTCCTGAAGCAGGGGGAGGGCTCTGGTTGCTTAGCAGCTGCAGGCCTCTGCGCAGAGCAGTGCAAGGTCACTCCGTGAAGACTCACCACTCAGGCAAGAACAACTGATTTCTATTAATAACAGTTGTCATCAAAATGATAAAACAAAAGGGGAAAGGGCACATCTAAGACTAATTTAAAGCAGCAACAATAGTTACTGGAGCACATTGAGAGTGACTCCAAAAAATTGATGGGGTCATTTTTGTAAGTTTTGTCTTTCACTGAGATACAAATGCAATTAGTATTATTCTGTTGAGCTCCCACGAAATATAGAGATTCCACAATCAAAAGGCTTAATTAAATAGTAAAAATGTAAGTGGAAGGTAAGTATTTAGCTGAATGGGAAAAACAACAGTGGATTTTAAACATGGTTCATTTATAGATCAATTTGTATCATTTTAAGCTTAGAATATGACTATATTTAAAAGTATATTACAATTTTTGATTTAAGAGCAAGACTAAAGCATAAATAATAAATGTACAGATATACTATTCCCTTAAATGGAAAGGTTGAATATCATGAAGACAAGGACAATCTCAAGGCAATTTATAGCTTTAATTCAGCTCCAATCAAATTATGACAGTTGTTAAAACTGACCTTGGAAAGTACAATACAAAGAGAAGCCAAGATAATTTTGTAAAACACTAAAGAAGATTTTCTCACTGAGAAACTGTTGTACAAGGCATGCGACTCTCAAAAGACTGGGATTGAATGAGAAAAGTAAATCTAAACTGCATCCTAATATAAATGATTTACCACATAAAGACAGCATTGGAAAAACAGAATTGGAAAGGTAGGAGCTATTTAATTAATGATAGGAGGATAATTAATCTTTTTTAAAAAAACGGTCTTCACCTTGTACTTCTTCCTAAAATAGCTTTAAATAGTGTGAAAACTTAAATATTAAAGAAATAAAGTGATCCCCTTCCATGTCCATTACTCCTCACATCCCTTATCACTGCTTGACATATTTATTCATTTATTGACTCCACTTTTCAGTAGACCATTATCTCAAAACTCAGAGGCTTCGTCCTTTTTCTGACTGATCGATCTTCAGTACCTAAACATTATTACAAATGCATGGGGGTGATTCATAAATATTTGTCAAGTGAATGAACAAAAACAGTGAAATGAAGCATGAGAAGGAAAGGAAGAAAAAAAAAAAAAGAACCTAGAAACAGTCTTTGCCAGAGTTTGAACATAAACACCATGACTACTTTCAAAACCCACAAACATTACTTTCTTCTTTCTTTTTAAAAACATATTTTAGCATATTTTACTAGCAACAAGACAAAGTGGAGAATGATTTACTCTTAACAAGACAAGGTAGGAAACAGTTTTTTCTTAAACTTCCCCAAATCAGTGATTAGAAGTTTTTTTTTTTCCTGTTACTCTTCTCAGCATTCCATTTTACTCTACTCCAGGTTTGCTACATCCGTATTTTCCTTTCTCCAATTAGAACGCTGCCTCTTTTTTCTGATGAGAAAGTATCACGTTGCACCCAGTTGCTTCTTGTCTCGATTTGACCCGATTTCCTCATTCCTGCATTAAAAGCTTGCAGAGCCACAGTGAGACACACAGTGTAGCCTCTTAGAGGGCATCTTTGCATGGTTAGACAAAAACCTGCACTTCTAAAACAGCTGCAGAGGGTTTCAAAACACTGCAACAGAATACATGATCATTTTGCGGGATCATAATCTTTGATTGGTGAGGAGGAGGAAACAAAATCTGACGTACCGAGGGTGGGATCATATTCCCAGATGAATCTTTTGGTTAGAAATCTCACCACAAGTGCTGTGAAAGGAAAAGAACAATGTATCAATCAAATTTGTTGATTTGTTAGGGGTCTTACCTTTCTAAGGAAAGAGAGATGCTCCATACAATTTTATAAGCAGTCAGTATTTCCTCAGTATATAAATCCAGTAAATTTAATTATGCTGCCTCCCCTCCCCTCCCCTCCCCCATCCCTCCCCTCTACTCCTCTTCCTTCTCCTTCTTCCATTCCCTACTCTTCTTTTCTTTTCAAATAAGAAAGCTGAAGCTTTGCCAGACTGATTTAAGTGAGCCCATCTAGGGAGTTCGTGGCAGCATCAGGATTTCACTCTACGAAATCTGCCTATAACGCCTGCAGTTTCTGCATCGTACCAAGCTGACTTGGTCATCTGGATAGCACTTCACTGGAGTATGCACTGGACAAGGAGGAGCCCTGAAACGTGAACCTTAAAACTTGGTGGAAGATATGCCGACCGTCTGCTTACATGTAGTTGTAAGCAGCAGACCGTCTGCTACGTAGCTTACTGTAGTTGACAACAGTCAACAGTGGTTTTTAATTTTAGGAAAATCTTTGAAGAGAGTGTCCCAGACACTTTAAAAACAGAATGAAATTACTGGATCTTTTGCCTGGAAAAATGCGCATGCACTCCATTTAGGGTACAGTTACAGCAGCCTCTGGAGGTCTCTAATGACCCTTGACTGTATCCCCGGGGCCCCACTGAGCTTAAATAAATACTCACCATCTTTTATAGTTAATTTTAAAAAGCTATTATTGGTGGTTTTATTTTTACTGAGACACTTTTCGATAGTGGATAAAAGACACTTCTCAAAGAAAAGAAACTGGTTAGTTGAAGGTTACTGTCAGACTGCTGTCACTGTTAGCTCCTACCTCTGCGTCTCCTATGAAAGACCTCAGCGCAAATTACAGCAAGGCTTTTGTGGCTCACTCAGACCACAGGCATCTGTGGCTTCCCTGCCAGTGACTGGCAATGTTCTTTCTAAAGACAGAGCGTGAGGCTGGATCTAAGCCAAGCGTCTGCAGAGCCTAAAGCAGCAAGGCCGTGGACCCTCTCATCCCTCCCACAGCGAGCGCCCTTGCGGTTACAGGGACAGTCTTTAGAAGCTGTCACCACTCATTCTCCTGAGGCTGGGGCATTTTTTCCTTGCATGTGTGAAGCAGTAAGGTCAGACAGATATTTTTCTCTTCTTTTAAAATAATTATTGGTGTTGGTAAACATAACTGCCCCATAGGATTCAAACAGTTCCATCTTTTTGTTTAAAAACCTTAAGGAATGAACTCTTCATATGAAAATTTTAATAACTGAATCTGATGTTCCTCAATGCCAAAACCATTTAAACTTTAATAATTTCTTAAAGTCTTCCAGAAATGTTTTAGACACCCTATTGACTTTCATAATCAAATACACTGAACATAATTGCACCATTTGGAATTGGTATGTGATTATGAGACATAATAATTGCATTTATCTTGGGGAATGGATACATACACATGTCATACCCCTGACAATTTTACGTCACCTTTCCCTCCTGGCCCTCCCCTCTCTAATAACCACCTCCAGGTTCTCTTACAATCTCTATAAAATCTAACTCCCTATTTCCTACCATTTCTCTATTTTGCTTTTTAAATTATTTATATAACTTATTCTGTGTCCTCTGAGAGGACAATCATTGCTTTTTACATTATTTATACAATGTGATATTTAACTGTCTATGCCTGACTTATTTCATGGGACAGTATAGTTTCTTTTTTTTAAAATTTTATTTAAAGAGAAAAAGAAAAAAAGCAGAGAAAGGGTACAAGTTATACAGATTTACAGAAAAAAAATAAACAATAGGAAATCACTAGTTAATGGATTACATATTGTCATCTTAGAAATAATTGTTCAAGTTACGAAATTAAAGCTTATAAAGTGGACATTCCAACAGTGAGACTGCAAACAGTTCTGTTCAATGATCCAACAAAACTCAGTAATATATACATGCAGTTATATCGTTTAGAGCACTTTCTTTTCCTCTCTTTTGTACAATGACAATTACACATTTTGGGTTTTGTTGCTCCCACAATTCTTATTACTTTTTTTGGAAGAGAGTAGAACCAAATGTGACATAACAGAACAGAGTCAGTCAAATCAAAAGGGTGGACATAATAGATAATGTAAAAGCATAATACAAGGTGATCAACAATGGTAGTTTCAAGAATTGCATCATTTTTAAATATTTGACTCTTGGTGGATAAGAAGCCTATTTCTTGGCTGGCGCAGTTAGGCGGCACTATTTGAAATCACAAAATGAATGAGATGAAACAAATCGATTGTGTTGGGGCTTCCGAGTTTCTAAAGTTTTGAAGGTGAGTTATATATATAAATGTATTCCTAACATATACTGTATCTGTCTTCTCTTGCTCCCTGAAACTCCCCATAACAACCTATCTCAACTTTATTACTTTTATTATGCCAGAGATTGATAAATCATATCAATAATCTTGGTATAATTTGTGAAATAGGGGAGGAAATTATTTCTGGGGTTATGTTTTAAGGAACCTCTTTTTATTTTATTTTTTTTATTTTATGGAAAAAGAAGCAAAAATTCGTGGACCCTCTTATAGTGACATACACATGATCTGGTGTTTGTTTTGGTTAAGTTTTTTTTTTTTTTTCTGACTTCTAGGTTACTGGCCCAGTTTCCAGCTACATGAAATAATCTTCCAGCAAGGCAATGGTGATGGGGTTAATCCACGCAGCCATCTAAATGTTTTAAATGTTCTTTTAAAGAGCCACACATAAATGCTTATTTTGACAATGCAATCATGGATTCAAAAATCAATCTATTCAAATGTACTAAAATACTCTGAAAAACTGACATTAGTTTATGCATTATTTGAAGGTATGTTTTCATGTCTCAGGTTATTCATGGAAAAGACACATGCATATATTTTTAGATTTTTAATAATATTTTAGTTTAAAATTATTAAAGAATGAAAATGATAAGTTTGCATCTGTGGGCATGCAAACTAAGTCCTTATCATTATTTAAATTGTGTCTAAATTGGGTAGATGTCATTCATTATTTCCCGATAAATTATAGAATGTCATCAGTCTTATTTGGGCCCCAAGTTTTATTATGGAATATGATTTTCATATGTGATACATCCTTCCATACCTCACCTCCTCCACCACTGTGGCAGCTATTTTCTGGCTTCATCTGTTAATACTAATTTTTTTCCCTGCATGATGGGTCTGCTTCTTCTGAGCCAATGATTTTGCTGAAACATAAACCATCTCATGTCATGTATTTGTCTCAATTTGTCCCTGACCTCAGTCTTTGACCAAGTACTGACTGAATGCCCACTCTGTACTCGTTCTGTGCTAGGTGTTTGGAATAACCTAGCTAATAAATCAAAGATCCCTGATGTTATAAGGCTTATTCTCTACTACAAAGAGGCAAATTAAAATAAAAATAATAGCTAAACTATATAATATACTAGAGGTAGTAAGTACTCTGGGAGTTAAAAAACAAAGGTAAAGAGCGGATTGGGTTGGAGATGTAGCTCAGTGGTAGAACCCTTGCCTAGCACGTGTGAGGACCTAGGTTCCATCTCCAGTACTAAAAAGAAGAAAAGAAGGAAGACAAGCACGTAACCAAGAGAGCAAAATAAAGGGATTGGCATTGAGGGTAAATCATGAGAGCTGTTATTTAAAATAAAGTGGCCAGCTTATATAAGCTCCTTAGGCAGATAACATTTGAAAGGGTTGGGGAAGGTATCTGAGAGGGCAGTGTGCCAGGCAGAGGGAACAGCACTGCGAGGCCTCTAACGTGGGAATGCGTGTTCCATATGCTCAAGGAAGGAACATCAGTCAGGGAACTGTGACTAAAGCAACATGCATGATACTGAGTGTAATCAGAGATCAGGCAGTTTCCCATCACTGTCCTGTTGTACATCCACAAACACCCTGCTGGAACTACAATGCCACCTGTGACTTACTCCTACTTAATACTTATTTATACTGTGCCACCATCACTAATAATAAGTTAACTCACTTCCCTATAACAATATTATTATTATTGTTGTTATTATTTTGCCTGATTTCTTTAGAATGTACATTTTATAAGTGCATAGAACTTGCTTTATTCAATTTTCTGGTGTCTAGAACAGTTCCTGGCACATGGTAGACTAAGAAGTATTTATTGAATACATGAAAAAGATGTATCAGTCCATGCCATTGATTATTTATATTTAACAGCTAACTGATAATCATGCATTGAAAGAAATAGCAGAAAAATTGACTCAGGCTAGCTCACCTTAGAACCATGCCACTTTTCCATAATTTTTATCTCAAGGAGTTATCCGGACGTATCATCCAAAGTGCTTTATAATGGTTATTCAGTGATCCTTACACAAATTACACATATTTTATCTGAGTAGTTAAATCTATAAAATTGATCCCATATTTCCCCCAAGAAGTTTTTCTTTTGAAGTAAAATGGTGACACTAATAATCTTTTCTTCTGCCAGAGGAAGTCTGATATAAAGTCCTTTCATCCTGAAGAGAAAGGTTGGGTCTGTTTTGTTACTGACAGTTGGCTCCTTACCCACTGCCTTGAAAAACCAATACCTTTCCACTAAACAAGCCAAAGATGTCCAGTGGTTAACTTAAGGAGGAACATTTTCTCATTTTGTCTAACTTGTAACTTTCATGACATGTGTTCATTTTTATTATTACTGGCACAAAAATTTCACTGTTATTAATGAAAAAAAGAATGGAAAATACAGTGTAAAGGAAATTTTTTAGATCATTTAATGTAATAACTGAGTGGGATGATATTTTGTTCATAAGTGAGAGCTAAAAGGCAGGATTGCTACATTCATACAGCTATGCTGTTTCTAAAGACAAATCTGGCTGGTTACTCAAAGTAATTCTTAATGTCATTCTAATGATGAAGCAAGCATCACAAATACCAGCTTGAATGATCAAAATAATATGTGTAAACAAACAGTCAATTG